CAGGTGATTTAAATCACTTGAAAAAAATCAAGCCAACCCTGTTGTAAATTACTGTGTGTGTTCAGACGAAGTGTACGACTATGTAACAACGACGGAATCGCCTGGCTTGGGCTACACGGTGCAAGTGAAACTGATCGAGTTGGGCGAGAACTTCGTGGCTCCAAAGCCAGGCACGATCGAGTACGAAGATCTGAGCACCTCGATCTCCAACAATTTCCAACCGGTGTTCCGCAGCCTGCCTGGCTACCGACGACTGATCGTGGAGCAACTCAACGAGTAAGCGAGCAGAAACGCTGGCGTGAGTGCTTGATAACGCGATCGTTTTCCAGCGAGAGCAACAACATTGTGGCCGTCATGAACCTGCAGCTGGACAAGGCGATGGCCGAGAAAGGACGCGCTCTGTCCGAAGGCGAGGACACCAACGAGCAGGTCCATAAAGCCGTGCAGGAGAGCGTCGGCTCGGGCCGCATTGGCAACCTGAAGGTGGACCCGCGCTATCTCGTTTTTGAGCCGCAAAGCCGTGAGTGACTTGACACGGTCCCCTTGCAGCATAGAGAAAGTAGAATAATTAGTTAAATTATTTTACTTACTCTATGCTTTGCAGCTCTAACTGATCTGCTCTGGCTTGGTTTCAGTAACATCGAACCTAGTCCCGGATTCGGACGGTTCGACGGTCAGTTCCGGCTTCTTCGACATGCCCTCTACCAAGCTGTACATCGTGCTGGGCTGCATTGCCGCCCTTGTTCTCGTCGCCCTCGTACAGGCCGGCTGTACAGTGTACAGGGCGACTGGGCGACGCAACGCCAACAGACACAAGGTAACGTCTTTATGAGAAACGGAACCAGCTGGACACCGAAAGTATCGCCTGCTAACAAAGTACGTGGGGCTCTTAATAAAGCCCATTCACACGCTCAAGCCATCTGAACGATCTGGCTTGCCCAAGCCATCTGAACGATCTGGCTTGCCCAAACCATCTGAACGATCTGGCTTGCCCAAGCCATCTGAACGATCTGGCTTGCCCAAGCGATCTGAACGATCTGGCTTGCCCAAGCCAGATATGTGCAGATGAACTGAACGAAAATCTGGCGTTTACACGTTCAGTTCGTTTTACACCCAAACGTGCATTGTTGCCAAGATGGAACATTTGGACGAA